TTGTTTTGAACTCTGCGTCTGAGTCCTACCTCCACCCACATCCCTGACATTACCACAAATGTTAAGTAATGAGTGACACAGATGTATCTCATCTCTCTGATGCACTTATTGTGCACTCTGAAGGTCCTAGGGTCTGTAGTTTGTCAAAAGAAAAAAAATGTTATTGTTGTATATGCTATAAATGTTATATCTATATATATTGTTGTCATAACCGATACGAATGAAACATTTTTAATACAGGTATTTTTAAATGACATTTTTGACTTTATGCTTTTATACAAAATATGAACATTGAATAAATGAGTGTTTCCCCTATGATCACCCCAACAAAAAACTTCTAACAGATGAATTAAGCCTCTGGTTTTAAGTGTTTTTCCCTAAATCCTTTCAGGTCGTCAATGAGTTGAGAGAGAAAAATTGGTTTACAGTAGCTACATCCTTTGCAAAGAAACACAGCATGTGTTACATTCCATTTCTTTCATTTATGATAAATCTTTTGATTGATCCTATACAACAGAACGGTTTATGTTTACGTTGTTGGCAGTAAATGTTCAAACCTTGCTGCATAAAGGATGCAGCTGATTTTTCATAGACTGGTTGTCAACTACGGGGCAAGGGCATGATGCATCCAACAGAAAGGAGGCGAAAGGCTCGCTGAGAGGGGACAATGTTGCGTGGGTGACACCACCACCACCACCCGGGTGGTTGAGTCTCTACAGCGTTTCTTTGCGAGAACGGATCAACAGGAAAGCACATAGATGAGCGAAAAGGACTGAAGCTAAAACCATCAAATGAACCAAACCATCACCTAAAAAACAGGACTTGTTGACAGTAAATAAATGAACACCCGGTTTTAACGGCACCACAGCGGGCCAACTTCAGCTTATTTATTCACATATTTCTTAGTGAAGTCAAAGGCAGCTGGCTGGAATGATACTGTATGAGTAAGCATTTATACTGCAAGTGCTTGACGAGACAAGCATCTTTTGCAATTTTTTTAAGCCTCAGCAATTGGCAAATAGATGTCTCCCAAGAGACTTCATACTGACAGCCAAACGTTGAGAAGAGGAGGGGAAGCCAGGACAAAGATCAGAGGCCAGAGCAGCCACGCAGAGCCAGACAAAGAAGTGTTACTCCTAAACTTTGGTATCTTTACAACATCCCGACAAGCTCACGTCCTCACTGACGCTGACTGAGAACGGCTTTTAGCGGCTCTCGGCGCCTTGAGTGCAATATATTAGGAACAGCGATAAAAATGTTTTTACTGAAGCCTTACTGGCAGCATATCACCAGGTTTGTCAACGTTTGATCTGTTTTCTTTTTGTTTTATTTGATTGTGTCAAATATTTCCAGATCAGCTGGAAAAGGGATGTTTTTTGTACTTTTTTTTGTACAAAAGATAAGGTTTCCCAGAAATGTTTTGGGAAAGAGTGATTCTCCGTGCAGTGCTTCGTAATCATGTTCTCATTCAAGGTGCTAGTTTAAGTCAACCTCATTTAACTTGACACAGAGATTGTCACTTGTTTATGGCTCAGGAGGCTGTTTCCTAGAACGGTGTTTTGGTTAAACACTTAAAAAGCATCTGTTTTCCTGTGTGTGACCAGTCAGAGGACGTCCTCAGGAGACACCACCCGGAGTCTCATCGTACACACAGGAAGCGGCTTGCAGGCGGAGGTTGAGGTTATATGGTGCCCTTTATGTTTGGAACGCTTTTGGGTGGAGACGGTTGTTGTTGCCATTTCATATCTGAAACAACTGAGTGAAATAACTGCAGCGGCACACGGGAGTACAAAGCAGAAACACAACTGGAAAGAACAAATAGCACGATTTATTTCTGCATTTTGACTTTGAGCTTTAATGAGTTTCCCACCGTCTGATCTTTGCAAGCCAGAGAAGACACGCTTAAACTAATGTGCTAAGTAGCAGGAAGTTACTGCATGTTCTAGTAATTGTTCAAGTTTGAAGCAGGAGTAGCTGGAAAAAAATTATACATATATATGTATATATATATATGTATATATATATATATATATATATATATATATATATATACATATATATATGTATATATATATATAGACTTGGTTTCACTTTCTAACACACTGGATTTTCCAGCACACGGTTCCTTTAAATATGTTTTTTTTTTTAAAGCATCACGGCTGGGATTATGGCATATTCTCTGAACGTCTACTGATGACGCAAATGAGTTTCCACTGTAGTCACTTGTGTCACCGGTGTCATGCAGACTTTAAACCGGGCTGAGAGCGACGCACCAAATGATATTCTATTATTTATCAACTGATTCCAATGTGCCGAGTGTAAGTTTGAGTTTTTGCATCAGAATATGAAACGTCCCCATCCTAAAAAATCTCAGGTGCCAAATATTAACAACTTAGTTTTTGCTGCTGTCTATCAAGCAAGTGTCCATGCGACCACCTACACACACACACACACACACACACACACACAGCAGCTGGTTGAGGCAGGTCTGCCAAGACCACAGCTCATCGTAGCGTTGTTTGAGAGCTTCACGTGCTTCACACAACACGATGCAGTCAGCTCAGCACTGGTGTGTGTGACATGTGAGGGGCCACTGAAAACACTTATGTTTCAGTTAAGGCCTACTTTAATAAAAAAAA